GTGGTGATTTTACCCAACACTACATATTTATTTAGACACTTATTGAGGTACTTTATTATTTTTAAGATGAGGACAGCTCTTACGCAAGGTTATCCAAAATGATGTGAAATGCTGGAATTCATTTTAAATTCATTGTAGGGGAAAAAAAAACGACCCCAAAAACTTATGTCTTCAAATTCTCCAATCATTTTCAGGTAACTTATATGACTGCAATTCAACGATGAAATAGATGAAGCCATGACATACCATCAGATGTGTCTGTCTGTGGAGAATACCCCTCGGATAAGTTGAAGGTCCCATTATCGGTCCAAGATACTTCTGATACATCTGTGTCAGACACTGACAGCTCTTTGGCAACAACTGCAGGACTAACCTAAACATAAAAAAGTCCCATACATGGTATTCTTATACTTAAAAAATCCACACTACAGGAAGCCAATGCTTAGATACTGAAAAAGAAGCCTCTTGCATGTCATAGCAATATAAACTGTCTCTTATTTCAGCTTTAATTGTAGAAATACGAAATTAATAGGAGTATACAATACTTAGAAGTGAAGCATCCCTTTTTGTAATAACTGAAAGCTGTATGATACTAAAGAAGCATAGAAAATTCCAGTTATTCATTTTGAAAGTAATATCCTACTGTAATGAAAGCAGAATGAGCCTGCAAATACAAAATGTGCATAAATACAAAGCAATGCATAAACTTAGATCATAAACTTAGATCATAAACTTAGATAAACCCACATTATCTAGAAGACAGTCAAAAATTAGCTAAATAAAAAAATCATTATCCTTTACAAATGTATCCAACAATATTCAATTATGTCAGCTACAAATTTTTATCCCATGGTATAGAAATTTATTTTTTTCAGAATACTAAACACCCTCAAAGTGATCATTGTCAAAGTTAGGCTCTATACACTACTGATCAAATACTGCGTAAGAATTCCTATAAAACTGAATTTTTTTTATATGAACCAGTGTTCTGATTATAATGGAAAATCCTTTGCCATACAGTTATTTAGACTATTAAGAGAGAAAGGAGATATCACAGTGCTCTCATACGTGTCTAGAAAGATATTTATAGATAATATACTGATTTATACTATCCTTGAAAATGATCAGACAAGTGATTACAAAAGTACCTGATAAATTGTGTACGTTTTCTACGAAGGTTACCCTTTTATATTTTAATTTTATAAAAATTAACTGCAATTTCACTGTTGCAAATAAAAACAGCTGCCTTTTTGCTACTAAATTGTAGTTTAATCATTCTACAGCCAATACAAAATAAACACATTCTTAGTTTAGTAGGCCAAAGAAACCATTACCTTGAAGGCCAGAAGTCACAAATGCAGTAAGTTAATTAGCAAAAGCCTAAAGATGGAGACTACGAATCACTTCTAAAGCTTACTGCTTAGTTCAGGAACACAGCCTCCAGGGCAGGTTAAAGTCTTCCACAGAAAACAGAGACAGTAGTCTAGATACTCTCCATTATCTATATAGATTTTAAAAGCAAAATAGGGCTGACTGAAAAAAAGTCACCTTAGGACACAGGGCTGATATGTCTAATTCACTGTCATCTTCTGTGGGTTTTGTTTTTGCTGTTTCTGAAAGAAAAAGAATATTTTTTATCCTACTCATGACAAGCAGACTTCGAGGTTCAGTGTGCATTTTCTGTCACACAGCTTGCGTAGCACAGTAAAATTTCACCTGTTGACACAGTGCATCACTTAAGTAATATGCTACTAAGGTGAGGGAAAAGGGCTGATTGAGAGGCTAGATATTTATCAAAATATATCCTGCAGCAGCTAAACCAGGAGAGATTGTTGCTCTGAAATACATTCCAACACATTTACTTAGTTTCAGAAGTCTCCGTTACTCACCATAATATAATGTTCCCTGGCAATATATAGCTATCTTTTAAACTACACTGCTGGTTCAATGCACAGTGGTAACATATTGTTAAAAGAGGCAGTGTAGTTATCCCAGCACACTCCTTTACATGAGAACATGCAATTTTCTGGATAATTGCACATAATCTTCATTCACAAACCCCTTCTTCTTCCTTGCACCCGGTTCCCCCTCATTCACAACATTTATATGCAAATATGCATACAAAGCATCCTCTGGAATCTGGTTAATGTTGCTCCTTACAGATGAAGAGAGACACAAATTGCACCTCCTTTCTCTGTCTCTGAGAACAGCCTCATGAATATTTTAAACCAATATAAGCGTAAAAACGCAGTCGTATTATTCTCGGTTGCCTATTTTTGCAACTTGCTACTTCCTCCCTCGTGCCAGTACAAGGGTTTGTGAATCCATGTGAACTCAAGTGGCAAAGCAAGGTAGGGAACTTTGTCTGGGTTAAATTAAACTGGAGGGTGAGAGGCAGGAAAGAACGCATCTAACCTCAACCATTTTCCCAGTGCTGGCTTATGAAATTTAGGAAACAGTCGTCTGATCTCTCTCTCTGCCAGTTTCACGTAAAAGTAGAACAAGGTGGAATAATACATGAAAGAAAATTTTCAACACATTAACCCTAACAACTACTGTGTTATGTGTAAGAGAAGGGGAAAAGGCAAATGGTTCCTCTCGTTGTGTCTAGGAACAGCACATTGTATGATGAACTTTTATAAGAAATGCATGTTTTAAAGCAGGTATGAAATCGACTGATGTACTGCTAACTAAAAAGAGTAGGCTGGTAGGCTACCTGCAAGTCATGTGGCTACACTACAAAGGTTTAATTACCAAAACTGTAGCACACACAAAAAGCAAACTAAAAATAACATTTTTAATATAAATACTTTTCTTGAAATAGCTTTATTACTTAAAATCTAAAAGTTTCCAATCTTGTAAATGTTTTCAGGTGAGATAGGTAAAACTTTGTTTTAAACTGATTTCTCCCCTTTCTAACTAAAACCCTTGATTTGTAGCTACTATCCTACTGCAATTCTTAAATGCAAATGAGTATTTGGGGAAGAAAACAAATTCTTATTGCTGTTGGTAGTGGAAACAAGGTGGATTTAGATGCTGTAACAGAGTTCAGTCTCTTACTGAACATTCTGTTATGTACTAATTTTGTGTTCTTGAATGAGTCTCTCTGCTGGATAAGTTTGCCTTATCTAAACAGAGGTAAGTATTGCATACTTTACAGCAAGTAGTTTTTCCTGAAAACTCACAAGCAGTACATATAATCAAGTATGAAGAGAACCATCAGTCTTGCCTTGTTTCCTTCCGTTAAATATTTTTTTTTTACCATACCCAGACGTCTGACATACCTTATCACTCCTTATAAAGCTAAGAACGGTTCAAAGCAAAAAATACCTTTACACTTGGCTTCACAGGACAAACCAAACTGTCTGCAATGTGAGTAAAATTTTCTCTGCATACAGAAATACCTTATTTGGCACTACCCTTAATTACTCACCAGATCTCTCTTTTTTCTTCTGGTTGATATATTCCACTATTCCAAAATCTAATTTCATCAGAACAGTCTTAATTTTATTGCACGCTTTCTGTCCAAATTCATTGCACTTAAGGAAGGGACATAAAAAGGCACACAATACTGTGATAAAAATGAAGACAGAGAGAGAAATTGCATTGAAATATTCCTTTATAAGAAGTTACTCAATCAAGATTAAACAATGCATTTGCGTAACTACTAATTTTACACAACACAATTAATTTTACTTAAAAAAGCACTGGGAAATGCGCATGTCAGACAAACTGTTAACGTCAAATCCAGTTTCTAGGAGCCATTCCTATTCATCGCAGAAAATACCACTGTATTCATATCAACTGACGCCTTTTTTACTTCCAGTAAGGCACAATCTATGATCACTCTACCATCATTATCTTGATTTAGTCTGATTTTGATGTCTCCACCTGAGAAACCTGACTATGCCACATTGTGCCAGAGTCAACAAGCTGAAAAAAATTGTCAGCTGACTTCGTATGACAAAAAGCACTTGTCAGAACCCACGTGTATATATATGCATGTGTGAGGGTCTATATAAAATAAATTAAAAAAAATACTCCCTCTACAGAAACCAAATAATGAACAAACCACATACATAAATCAGGATTGAAAAAGAGACTGTACTTACACAGGACATAGGAGAGGACAACTCCAGGAATGTAACTTCCCAAGACAGTGAAAAATGTACATACACTGCAGACTAGTAGGCAAAACTGGCAAAAACATTAAAATTGGCCATTAACACTTCCACTGTTTAAATATTTAGATAATTTTGCAAAAGAAAAATGATGCATGCTAAATGAAACCTAGAATGCAGTGGAAAATTAAAGTTTTTTTTTTTAAATTAGGAAATACTTTAACACTTCTTGTGCAAATAGGCATCAAACAGTTAATTTTGGCTAATTAGGGTATAGCCCCTCTTCTATTATAAAAATATGCTATTTTTATTCATTTACTGTGAAGGTTTAACAAGATCATGGTTATTGCTAAAATTACTAGAAATTACTTCACCTTCACTACACAAAAAAAGGCTGAACAGTTGATGTGCAGAAAAAAAACCCCAAATCACTAACTGAAATATTACAATGCATATTTTGCACACAGCATCAGTGCCTGATTTGCTTATAGTTATAACAGTAAAATAATGACATGGCTCAGAGAATGAGGTCAGGAGAAAGAAATGAAAACATGCTGTCAAAATTAGCTTTTCTAAATCAGTATAAGATACATCTTAACATACAGTTACAGCATCATGTTATTACATGAGAAAATAATGGGACTGCGTATACTGATACTGTATTTTCTTACCTCAATATACACCTATTTCTTTTAAATATAACTTTATTATCCTAAACACATAATTTCTTTTTGTATAATTTGTACAACTTTGAAATATATTTCATCCTGTTGCTCACATATATTTTCAGTCTAAACTCCTAATATTTAAGCATAGTATTACATTCTTCCAATTTGCTAATTCTGAAGGGCCTGTTTCCATGAAAGAATTTGTGGCCAAGTTAACTAAGATCAAGGGTGGTATGTGGGGGGGAACCTCATAATCTCTTTTTAATTTTTTTTAATTACTAATACAAGTATAAAAATGAAATCTACTATTGCCATGACATACTTCTACATTTCTATTTTTCTTTTCTAAAGAAAGCTGCTTCACTTTTGGCTAGAACTACATAATAATCTTCTTCCTAGTAGGAAAGAAGAAACCTTACTCTTGCTTGCCTCTCCATGAACTGGGTTCTTCAGCTCAGCCTTTCCAGTAAAAAAAACCCAAACAACTATATCTATGTAAAAAAAATTATCACAATAAAATAGGAAGGATTCTCTTCTATCATATAATACTTGTGCAGCTATTTCTGAAAACTAAAATTATTTGGGAAAAAAGTGTATGTTTAGGAACTGTTTACTTTTCCTGCTTTTTCAAGTTTTTATTGAATTGTGATGTTTTAAATTTCGTTTCCATTGAATGACTGTCCAGCAGCTGTAAGGGGAGGGACTGTACTGTGAGCAGCTTTGCTCACTAATGACCCAGTTGTGTTCCGCACAGCAAGAATTTAGTCGAAACTCAAGACTGAATGTATCATAATGTGTATTTTATTTTTCAGGTGTTTGCTTTTTTAAATCTACATCACCAAACTGTTAAATCTTACTTGGGAGTGCTTACCTTGCCAGGGTTTTGTTCCTTGAAGTGGGACATTTCTTGAAGAAATACAAATAAATTCATCAGTGTTTCTGAAATGCACTGATTTATTCTGGGTCTGTAGTCTTGCCTGGAATTGATGACTTTCCAGCTGAGTAAAACAAACAAAAATACCCAACAATTCTCATTACACCTCATATAAAAACTTTTGAAGCCTTATCAACTTCCAAGCCACACGTTATAAAGCTATAGCCTCCAGTGATCAAATGGCTGGTGCTTTGCTACAGACACCCGTGCTCGTTTCCACATACTTTATATTGGGCTAATTCCATCGCTTCAATGAAATAAATTCTGTTCAGCAATAGCAATCCTTAGTCTATACAAGCAATTACGTAAGAAATTACTGCTTATTCATTCTGGCCGTACGAAAAACCAGTGTTCAAGGCACAGTTTCTTAATATTATTTTTTTCTGAAAAAATATACCACAGTACTTTTAATTGCCACAGGATGGCCATACATATTAATACATTTAATTTCATGCAGATAATCCTCGTGCTTTTTCTTATGTATTTTTTGTTTGTTCTGCAAACTATGATGATCTTTAAGAGATTGTTATCCAACTTGGAAAAAAAGAAATTGCTCTTGAAGTCTTGATCTTTACACTAATTTCCTTACTGAATTTTTATTTTCCTATCATATTGAAAGAACTGTTTCTACAGCTTAGCTTATTACTGTTTGGTACTTTTAATAAAATAAAAAGAAACTGAACTGAAGAATTTGCTGAAAAACATGAAAAAGCATATGTATCTAATTTGGGGCTGATCTGTTTAGACAGTATCTAGTTTAAATTATACATCATATACCTTTTTGGAGTAGACAAAACATCTACAACAAAGATGTTTTATGAAACAACAAAAGAAAGGAAAAACAGACAGGCCACTCAATGTCAAATCAAACTGGTACAAAATACGGATGTACCACCATGCAAATATTCATGCACCGGTTTTACAAAGTTATCTTTCACATAATTCACTGCTCAGTACACACACTTTTGATCAGAGTGACTGCAAGTAAACCATAAACAACCCCACAGTCATTTTACACTGATACATAAGCCATTAAATGTCCAATGCATCACTGCATTAATAGTAAAGTTTTGTCATAGGCGGATCAAATTACAGGATAAATCAAAAACTACATTATGAAAAAAATGAATGTACACGTGTTGGTGCGCAGCAATAAGGACATACACACAGACTGTCAAACTTCCAACTCATATTTCCATATAATTACTCTGCTATTTAGCTACTAAACCACCAACAAGGCCCTGTTAACAGTTCTTCTTGTTATTCAGAATGCAAATGCCCTCTGAAAGTTCCCTGGGACAACTTAAATTTTAGCAAGCAGCAGTAAGTGACTGGTGAGATTTTTGCTATTTAAACTTCACCCTGTATGAATTTGGTGTTCAAAAGTAACATTTAAACATTTGCTTTAATATTCGGAATACCAAGATAGGAAATTTTAATTTTTTTGTAGTGAATGTAAGACTAACAAAAAAAATTACCAGTCATCACTTGTAAAAATACCGTCAGTGATTAAAAAATTCCACGCTAATATTATCCTTGTTCAACAACAGATTGCTTAGGCATTTTTATTGGCACATATTGTGAAAGTTAAAAGCTATCATGAGCATTCGGACTTTTCTCAGTTGAAAGCTGGTTAGTAGGTTGCTTTTGGCTACCTTTTCTACTGAGGATACATGCATAACCTACCTTTGCTCTGTTGTATTTTATTAGCTATGACTTAACGTTCATTCCTACCATTATGTTTTAGAATATGAACTTCTTAATGTCTCTCATTTCCTGATCTAAGGAAAGCCATCAAGATTTTAAAGTTTTTGAACATACGTTTGTATTTTTGTGAGCCACTGGCAGTATGAGTGCACAGGTACGACAGCCCTGATGTCGTATCTCTATCACAGGCTATCGAGACTCCCGGCTCGGGTGCTACTTGGGAGTTTTGTTGCCACAAGTGCCAGACATAATGGTGCACGCTTAAAATCAGAGTACTACATTTTAATTTGCTTACCACCTAACATTTTTCAAAACAGATGGGGATCTCTATATAGCAATTTTAACTCTACCAAAATAGGCTTTTTCACTCTATGAAGCAAAAGTGTACAGTAATGTTTGTATATAGGCATGAGCTCACACCTCACTTGCACCAAGAACTGCACTGCAGATCTTTCTAGCAAGAGCAACTAGTTTACTTAAGACAGCCCAAGGAGATACTGGTTGAAAGGAAATAGATTTGCATTCTGGAAATTATCTACTTGAAAGTTACATGTTATAGTTCCACTGGATTACAAGAGATATATTGGTTTTTCCTAAAAAGAAAAGCTTCGGATTTGCTTCTCTTTTTAGGGCTGGGGCTGTATGCTGACTGCACTGAAAGGGAAGTGACCTCACATGGCAGCATGATGCAAGATATACCAACATAGCACTGAAGGGATGGTTACTAAAAGGGTCAAGTGGCCAAAATTAGGCAGAAGCTTTGATCAATGCATCATGATAGCAAGTAATGTAATGCATACTGTTTATTACATTATAACATCAAATGAAAAGCGAAGTTTGGGATTACATTATTACCTCAGATTTCTGGTCACAGATTTAACAACAAATCTAGGAAAATGATAAGTAACTATATACATAAATGTCTATTTCACTTTATTTTCCAACCCCCCAAAAAACCCTCTTTTTGTAAATTTTCAGTTGTATATCCCAAACACTATGTCACTTCTATTTTACAAACTGTAATAAAAGGAGAAAGCGAACTCTGAATTTCAAATCCAATGTCTCAGCAAAAAGAACATCAAACTTAAGTTCTCCTTAAAATCTTTAACTAATATTTCAGTCAAACCCCAGACAACATGTCTGACATCCAATTCAGCAAAGTCTAAAGCCATTTTTTCTTACAGTTTTAAGTTCTTGCTCTCATTTCTCCTAAACACACAGGATAAGAGGATTTGGGGCTTATGCTGAATTGTACACTTTGGTCCAACTGCTGCCCACATTTAAATTTGTGAATTTTTACGTACTTGTATCTAAGACAGGAATAAGTCTTCTTCTCCCACACGCATGATATCCATTTTTATTCTACACGGGAACGTTACATGCCTTCTTTTCAGCTGCATGGCAGACATATCGGTTACTTGGAAGCAGCTTTCCTAACATAACGGATATTAACCACCTTCTATTTTTAGATACTTGGTCTGAGCAGCTTCATTTTTGTAAAAAAGTCAGGAATAATTTTGGTCAAAAATGTTTATTTACACACATGGAGAAAGTTCATCTTTCTCTATACCTATACTTATCTACTGTACAGCAACTTCGCCACGAGGTGGTGACACAGCAACATCGGTACCAGAGCAAGGTTTGGGATCCATTTCAGACAGAACATAAATAGCATGCATTGGGGGATTCATATTCAAACTAGTGTATCCATAGTAGAGCACAGAACATGACTTAAAGGAAAACTAGAATTTCAACCACTGTGTAAAATCAATTAAAGTTCAAAACCCAAACTGTTGCCCTATTCCTGACTTTATTACATTATTTATTATAGTATAGTATTTATAGTAGTGCAGTAGCGTGATTCCCTCTGACATTACAAAATATTCAGGGTGAGGGGTTTCCCCCCCCTTTGAGAAAAAAACATAAACAATTTAAATTAAATTAACAATTGTTATTGTTAAATTTTTTAATTCAGTAGTGTACCTGAAATTCATAGGATGAGAGTCTCATGTCTTGGACTAGGTGACTTTTCTAAGTCAGAAAAATGCAACATATTTTCCAGCTGTGCATGGCATTGCACGCAGGTATTTGCCTCTGACAGAGGATGTAAATAAAACCGTTAAATAACTCGTGAAGAACATTGCAGGAACCCAGTGGGAAGGATTAGCAGCGTTACAGAACTATGTGTCCGCCTCCCATCCACAATAACAATTTCAATTTTCATCCTCGCTGGTAGTTAGCGGTTTGAGAAAAGTAGCATGCAAGCATTCTGTCTTCGGAGAACTGCAATTTTTACGGCTAGGCTATTCTCCTTAAAGAAACTTTGCTTCCAGCTTTTGCAAACCATTCTGCAGCATCAATAATACGCATTTTAAGAGTCGCCTGTTATATTCTAGCGTTGAAAACTACTATTATGACAGTATCCCGAGTGACAAAATCCATTTACAGACTTTACTCCTATCCTTTATTTAATGTTTGTTGACAATTAAAGTGGAACTTCGTGGAAGCACAAAGAAAGAAAACAGATAGGCCTGATGCCTACTATCAAAACAGAGCTTTGAAATACCTATAGCAATTGTAGGTAGCTGACTTACTAACTCTAAGTTAACTGCAAACACGGTGGGGGAGTGTGCGCGTGTGAAAGCATAAACTACAATAATAATGCAAACTATTTTCATATACGCTAACCACCAATATAAAGGCAATATAGATTAAAGAAGAGGAGATACAAAAAGGCACACTGGGATAACTAATAACAATTCAAAACAAACGTGCAAATTGTGCAGAGAAACAGCACATTTGCAGGGAAAGTTCTCTGGAGTGGCTTCTCTTGGTTGTTAATAATGCTTTCTTTTGCCAAGTTTACAAGTCATCGGAAGTATGAGCTGCAGGGCAGATAAAATATATTGCTAGATGCTTTGGTCCCATGGTCCACATGTGCTGCGTTAACAAAGAAGCAGCCAAGCAAGAAGAGTGGACGGCACAGGTGGTTTGCTTCAAAATGTTACAAACCCACTACTAAGGTTGCTCTGCAGAAGAATACTTGGCAGTTCCTGTAGGCCACAGGAAATCATCAGACACCTTTGTCAGTTCTACTACAGCCACGCTTTTCTATTTTACAAGGAACACCAGGGACTATTTTGAAGTCTTATTCTGATCTTAGGCAACTAGAGGTGTAAGAAAGTCAGCTTGCTGATCTTCAGTGCCACAATCAGATGCACGCGCTGCCTCTTCTTGTCCACACCTCCCAACAACTGCCAGCCCTGGCAACATCTGTCCTCCTGTCCCTTCTCCCCAGAGCCCACTTGAGCATCAGCATTACCCAGAGGCCAGAGGGTTGGAACCATGGGGCAGCAA